CTATATTTTTAAATAATTGGTAAAATTATTTGCGGATCTATATTATGGATGTAACTTGAAATATAACTGCTAAGTTTTTCTTATTGAAATAGCTTCATATATCTGACCAAATGAAGTCATAAGCTATTAATACTTTGACATTTAATCAGCCCGTAATTATGTCATAAGTAGCAAAAGAAAGGTGATACTTTTTTCCTTTAAAATCACAAGGTGAATCTTGACATTTTAAGCAATAATGGATTTTCAGATGAAAAAAATCTGAATGAGAATCTTCAGAGTATTAAAATGCTTTTTATTTTTATAAATTAAAAGAACGTCCATTCATCAATGTGTTTTAACATTTAGAATTTCACATAGAGATGTATCCGTGCTCAGTACATATTTTTTTTTTTGACTGCAAAATAGAATGAGAAAACTAGCAGTAGTAGCAACAATGCTAAATTCCCCTAACATATATCCCCTGTGGAATTAAAAATATTTTCACATCACATGAGTTGAGATCATTGAAACTGGAACTGCCCTTCACCTGCTTGCTGGCAGATGACCTGATTCAGTGCCAGACCACACAGTGAATGCTGAAGCCGTGAACCTACAGGAAAAATCATTCTCTTGCACGAGGATGTCCTGTGCTGAAGGGTTCCAGGCCTTCAACACAGGAGTCTCCTGTAGAAGACAACAGGACAAGACTGCATGGCAGAGCAGCGGGACTCCAAGCCTAGAAGGGAGGAGACCTAGAGAAGTTACTGTGTTATTATTTCTTGGGGTTATTTCATGAAAGTTGACACAGAGCTTCTAGAGAACAATTTTGCTGAAAATCTCCTAGATGTCCACAATTTTTTCACCTCCTGAGCTAGTTCTCAATTACTGGAAATATTGTACCTACTATTTATCAACTTCTTTGACGATATCGGTCTTACATGGGAGAAAACTGGGAATGATTATTTCTGAAGCCATGCCCATCGACCATGCTTTCATGGTCTTCAGGAAACACTTCAGAATACATTCTTTTAAGTGTCAATGCTGTATTTGGATGCTATATGCAGGAAAAGGTAGAAAAAATATATATATTCATTTTTTAAAAGTATGTTTTAACTTAAAAAGAAAGCCTAAAACTTTCCATTTTAATTGCTTTTCTTCCTCTTTACTATTTTTATAGGCTTTTGTGACAATTTTACACAAGGATATTCTTATGGGAGCAAAAATATTTAAAAACAAAAGTCTTACATATCCAACAGTTTGTCTTTTAAAATAGCTTAGAATTAGCTATACATTGCCCCCCCCAAAAGTTTTTATCCAAAGAGTCTTTAAATTTTTACTGTAATATTTATTTTTAAGAAGTATTATGAGGGTCCAAGATTATGATGAGCACCCCTAGTAGAATTGAAGAACTCATTTTAGAGTTATAAAGAGTCATAATTCTTATAATATAAGGTTTGCATGTCAGTTACCAGCATTGGATCACCTAGCTTGAAATGGATTTTGGTAGGAAAGGGGGTTTCATATAAAAGAGAAGAAAATGATAAAAAGAGAAATAAATATAAGCTAGCTCAGGATTCTAGCCAAAGCTGATATTAAAAGTGCCTGGTTTTCATTAATTGGACAAAATGATTACGCCAAGCAATAGGACATAAATTGCTGTATAGACCACAAATCTTACAACGCAAGACCTTATTTTCAATTCTAATGCATTATGAGAAAGATTCATCATCCAGGACCAATGACAAACTTTATTTTATTATCTTTTTCTTATTGAAGGAAATACAGAACTTTGGTGGAGAGCCTTAAGAATAGACTACATTGGGCAGAAGAAAGAAAAAATCTCAGAGCTAGAAGACAATATCTTTAAATTAAACAAGTCAGTAAAAGAGAAGGAACAGAAAAATAAGAGGAATGAACAAAGCCTACAGGAAATAAGAGATCATGCAAAGAGGCCTAAGAATCATAGACATCCCTGAAGGTGGATGAGAAAATATACAAGAGCTGGAAAACGTATTTGAGAGACTAATTACGGAAAACTTCCCTGGTCTTGATAGAAATTTAGATAACCAGCTAAAAGAAGCTCAAGGGATTCCTGGGAGATTCACTGCCAAGAGGTGATCTCTATAACACACAGTCATCAGACTGGCTCACAGTAACAGGAAAAGAGGAACTCCTACCGGACTGAGAGCCTCAGGCTAACCGCAAACTTCTCAACCCAGTCTTACAAGCCAAAAAGGACTGGAGCACCATTCTCAGTCTTCTCAAACAAAGTAATAGGCAGCCTAGAATTTTCTACCCTGCGAAACTAAGTTTCATATAGACAAAGGAGAAATGAAGAGTTCTTCTCAGACAAGCAAACACTGGGAATTTGTCTAGGGCAGACCGTGATCAACATAATAGACACCTACCAGTATAAAACCATCCAAATGTTAAAGCTCAGACCCAGATACCACAATGGCTCAAGGAATAAAACAAAGCAGTAATGATAAGATGAAGAGAAATCTGCCCCACTTATCAAGTCTTTCAATAAATGAGAATGGATTAAACTCTCCTCTCAAGAGACACAGGATGATTGACTGAATGAATAAAGAAATACAAACCAAGTATCTATTGTCCCCAGGAAAAGCATCTAATCCACATGGCTCATTCAGACTCGAGACGAAGGGATGGACAAAGTTTATTTTCATTTGGATTACTGCAAAATGCCTAATAAACACCAATGATAAACTGACATGTAATAGATCAGTAAGAATTCAGTATTCTTTTCTCCTTTTTGTCCATATTTCTTAATAAAGAGAGCCCCAAACTGTTTTATTCCTTTTTTGAATATTAACACAATAAAAATAGTGATATCATATCTCCAGAATTTCAAGTCCGTAAATAACTATAAAACTTATTTAATGTAGTTATTTTGTTTTCAAATAAAGGAAAATAAATCACTTGCCTAAGATCACACATATAATGACAGAACAAACACTACCTCCTGGGTCTTCATCATTCAGTATTTCCTCTATTAAACTTCTATTAGAACAAGAGCCAGGAGTCCTAGGTGGATGGCTTGATTCAGAGGAAACATAGCTTACTCAACCATTTAATTTTTTTTTTCCAGTTTTTGGCTGGAGCTGTGTTTGAACCCACCACCTCTGGCATATGGGGCCAGTGCCCTATTCCTTTGAGCCACGGGTGCTGCCATTCAACCACTGAATTAATTCAGCCAATGAGGAGTCACTGTGCTATCAACTCTAGATAATGGAATCACTGCAATTTTTTCCTGCTTTTTAGGACACAGGTCAGCAGACTTAAGCTGTAAAGGGTTAGATAGCAAACATTTTAGGCTATGCAGGCTATACTACTCAACTTTACCACTGAGGCATTACATTGTCATTAGTATATAAAGCAATGAACATTGCTATGTTCCAGTAAAACTTTATTTATAGACACAGAGTCTAAATTCACATGATGTTCATATGTTATGAAACATTCTTATTTTGATTTTTTCCTGACAATTCATATATAAAACAAAAACATTCTTAGTTCACTGGACATACAAAACCAGGCAGCATGCTGGATTTGGTCGGTAGTCCCTATGTACTGACCATTACTCTAAGTCGAAATCTAATGGAGGACAGAGTCAAAGATAATATTTCTTAAGGATGGGAGGGTAGAGGTTTAGAGTTAGCAGAAAATACCTGAAGCACATGTTAAAGATAATGGCCATCATCCAGGTGCAATGTAAGGTAACGGCATCGCACCCACACATCCTAAGTAAAAAAAAGAACGGCAGCCGGGAAAAGCAACAGGCAGTTGTGTACTGTCACAGCAAAAGTCATAAAGAGTGATGCTGGGAATGGGAGGAAATGAAAAATAAAGTGGAGACTCAGACAGGAAGTGAGCTCACTACAGCTACAGGCTCACTACACCCACTTTAATAAAGGCTACTGGGAGACCAATAAAATGCCCAGGATGGCACAACTACCACATCGCATGCCAGCTCAGGCTCTCTTTCCACCCTTGAGAACATATTGAATTACTCACATATCCCCAAAGCAACATATTTACACACATACACACAGTGTTTTATTAACAGCCACCAGGACTTACGAGCATGCCGGAAGACATGTCTTAATACTTTGTCCTACGGATCCCATACTTGCGTGTTCTATTAGAATCTAAGCAGTTTTAGTTAAAAATCAGCATTATAAGGACAGAGCAAACAACCTTTTAATGAGTTGTAGTTGAGCCTGTACATTTCAGTACCCGAATGAGGAACTTACAAGGGTAAGGATACTTTAGCTCTCTGAGTAAGGTGTATGTGAGGGATCCATGGTCATTATCACAGTCTTAGCTCAAATTTACAAACAACACTATGGGGGCATTCAAACAAAACTTCAAATAGACTATCCTCTATGTTTTTTACTGAGTGAAAGCTAAAGATGGATAAAGGGGTAAAATGTATATATTATATGTACAGTCTTAGTAGCTGGAGTATGTGAGGGAATAGAATTAGAATATTTGCCCTACAGTTGCAAATTTCTCTTGGTAAGCTGAGGATAAGTAGAAATCAATAATAGCCTGAAAGCTCCCAGACAATGAGGGGTGATGAGAAAAACTACATTGAAAAGAGTTGTGTCACACAGAATCAGGTCCAATGAACACTGCAGTCATTTTTGCTTAAATACATAAAGAGACTTGGCTAGAGTGGTCATAATAGCCAAATGACCTCAGCATGTGACTTAAAACCATAAAAAATCCATCTCTCAGCAAGTAAATATTCATTTTAAAACATAAATAGGCTATGCAGCACAGCCCCCCGGTTGAAGGGTTCAACTATAACTTAAGAATTGCAAACAATGTCATCTAAACATTTGTACCTTCACATTAATCTGAAATTTAAAAAAAAATTAAAAAGGACACTAAAAAAGCAAATAAATAAAAGATAAACAATTGAACATACTGGGTAGACATTCACTTTTGGAAGTCCCCTCCCGTCCACCTGCAGGACTGTGGTGCCTCTCACTCACCTTCCCTCTCACCGTGAACTGACAGGTCTGTTTCCCCCAAAGGGCCATAAGCAACTTGAGGACAGGGACTCTGTCTTTGATTTCTGTCTCCTCATCAGCCTATAAATGCCTAGCAGAGAAGAGGACCTCCGTAAATGTTTGCTGTCAGATTTAGAGACTAGGTGAATAGGTGGCTAAACAAAGATCAAAGGTTTCAAAAGAGACTTTACCCAGGATGTTAACAAGTGTCAAAAAGTAAGGAAAACAATAAAATATAGAACACAAGTGGGAGTTCCTATTCTATATTGAGAAGCTCATCTCTGTGCACAGTCACGGGCCCTTGACAAAGGGAGTATCTTTAGAGCAGTGCCTCAGCAGGCAGTTCCCTCACCGTTCACATCTCACCGCCTATACTTACTCAAACCTACCTATGGTGTAGCCTACTGTACATCCAGGCTGTTCGGCACAGCCCCTGATCCTGGGCTACAAACCTGTACCATACTACTGTACTGGGTACTGTACACAGTTATAACACAAGGGTACTTATATATCTAAACGCTGAAAAGGTACAGTAGAAATAAAAGATAAATACAAGAAAAAAATATATACCTGAATATGGTAATTACCATAAATGGAGCTTACAGTCCTGGAAGTCTCTCTGGGTAAATCTGTGAGTGAGTGGTGACGGCCTAGGAAATTACTGTGTACTCTTGCAGACTTTGTAAACACTATACACTTCGGCCACACTAAATTTATTTTTAAAAATTTTCTTTAATAAAAAATTAATCTTAATTATTAATTTTTTTTTACATTATGAGTTTTTACTCTAAAAAAACTTTTTGACCCTTTGTAAAAACTCAAAACACAAACTGAGCTTAAAAGACAAACACAGTGTATACTCCTGTAAAAAGTTTTTGTTTCTCTTTACTTTTTTCTTTCTTTTTTTTCTGGAGACAGCATCTTGCTCTGTTGCCAGGGTTACAGTAGAGTGGCACCATCACAGTTAACTGCAACTCCTAGGCTCAAGCAACCCCCCTGCCTCCCAGAGAAGCTGGGAATACAGGCGTGCACCATCATACCCAGCTAATTTTTCTTTTCTTTTCTTTCTTTCTTTTTTTTTTTTTGTATAAAAAGGGTCTCTCTTTGTTGCTCAGGCTAGCATAATCTCCTGTCCTTAAGCAATTCTCCTTCCTTGGCCTCCCAAAGTTCTGGGATGATAGCATGAGTCACGGCACCCAGCAAATTGTATCTCTTTATATCTTTTATCTATTAGTCTTTGGCCTATTTTTCAGTTTTCCTTTTTACTGTTAACCATTTTTGTTAAACATTAATACATAAATACAAATGAGGGCTCCTCGATATCACTGTCTTCCATCTTGACCCACTGCTATACCAATTAGGGCTCATCGATATCACCGTCTTTACATTTCTGTATTTGTACATAAATACAAATTAGGGCTCATCGATATCACTGCTATGTCTTCAAGGGCAACGACATGCATAGACCTGTCACCACCTGTAATAACAGCACCTTCTTCTGCAATATGCCTAGAAAACCGCCTGAGGCTGTTTTATAGTTAACTTATTTACGTCTACGATACAAATTTATACACATGCCTACATGAGAAGGAGAATGCTCTAAACAACACAAGCACTGAGCAGGCAAAGCCGGGACAAACACACCCAATTCCTATCCCACTTACTCTGAAATCAGAAGTTCTTTCTCTCTGACGTTTGGAGAACTAGCAGAATAGCCGAGCACCGATCTCTCCTGTTAACTCCGCACTGCTCTCCACACAGCACCGTCCCCACTTACCTTTCTTTCCTGGGGCCTGGCATCCTAACACTGATAAAAAGCATGAAAATGCTGGGACAAGGACTGAAGTGGGAAAATTAGGGTTAAGAAAGGAGGAGAGCAGAGAAAGAAGAGAAAACTCCAAAGGGGGAGAGGGTTCCTTCTGCTCATTTACATGGCTTTATGCTCCCAGGGCTTCACCCTGTGATGGGTAAGCCTGTCAGGCAAATTTCTACCAAGCATAACTTCTCAGAAAAGAAAGCCCTAAGCCACAGATTGAATTCATTTGAAACAGCGAATCAATTCTTATCTCTGAGCGCACTGAACGCCAACACAGGAGCACTGTCCCGTTAGAATATAACAGACATGCTCAATGACTGTGCGCTTTCCCAGCCATTGATCTCTTCAGTAATTATACCATGCAATGAGCTCTATATAGATATTATATTAATGTGTAGGGAGGAGACGACTAAATATGAATTAAATCAAGGCCCAATATGAAGCTTCCTAAGTACATGTCTTAGAAGGTAAAAAAAAAAAAAAAAGGTGACCTGTATCATATCTCATTTTCTACTTCTAATTAAAACGTTTCCATCTGAAAATTATCTTAAAATTTTAGTCTCTGGCTGTCCATTTCAAACAAATGAAACTGTCATGTTTCATAATCACTCACCTTTGTCATATTAATAGCCATAAAAGTCTTTGACAATATTTGACATAGAGAGCTTTCAGTAATAAAAAAAAAAAAAAGAGCAAATAAACTTTTTGCTCTTTTAAGAGATAAAAACAAAAGGATAAAGTTCAGGAAAAGGTTCCTCAGCCCTCTGCAGATCTGTCAAACAATTTCTATTGACCAAGAATAGCACACAGTAAACACACCACACAAAAGAAATGACGAAAGATGTATTTACTTGTTCGGGCCCTTTATTTTTCTTTCTATTTCGTATACACCCACACTGCACAGGCTGCATTGTGTTAATAAATAACCGGCAGCAACCTAAGTGAACAGGGGGAGGGGGTTCGACGAGGCTGTCAGGTAGCAGACAGAGGCTGGGCCCTGCCCATACACTTCTCTACATGTGCGCAGCGCGCCCACATTCAAGACAGAAGAGAGGTGTTCACAGATGGATCCTTTAACAAATCACAGACCATGGGAAGAACGGGAGGAAAGTTGGAAACAATAGTTCTAGGGGGGGAAGGAACAAAAGGCTTTTAGGAATCATGTTCTGCCAGGATAATCCTTCACCAGATAACTTGCTGTGGTTATCTAGAAATGTGCTGAACTATAATCTCTAACTCTTTAACATTTCAGTTTTGCAATACTTTACTTTTCAGACAGTTTGCAATGCTGGCTCCATGGTTTAGTTCACAGACAGTCACGTGCCACACAGGACCTTTTAGTCAAAGATGGATCACATATACATTGGTGTTCCCATAAAGTTGTAATGTGTTTTTACTGTACCTTTTCTAAGTTTAGATCTGGTTAAATGTACAAATACTTACCACTGTGTTACTTTTGCCCAGTCTTCAGTACAGTAACATGGTATGCAGGCTGATAGCCTGAGAGCAAGAGCATATAGCTGGATATTACACAGACAGCCTAGGTGTGTAACAGGCCGTGCGATCTAGGTTTGAGTGAGTAACACACTTGTGATGTGCCTGCAACGACCAAGTCACCTAATCATGCATTTCTCAGCATGCATCCTTGTCAGGAACATGTGACTGCACGTACATGTGTACACAATTCAGACCAAATGGAAAAATATTCTACATATATTTTTCCCAATTTTTTAACATTCAAAAACAGTCCAAATAATACACATGAATTGGGACTAAATTAAACAAACGAATAGGCAAAAGTGTTAGCGGTCACCTTGTTGATGACATTATATACATAAATAAGAAAACTACCATGTGATGCCAGCCTATGATATTTTCCGTGTTTTGAGCTCATCCTTCACAAAAGCTTATTTCCCTGACAGTCTTCTCTAAGCTGTGGGAAAAGTCTAACGTAAATCAAAATAAGCAAAGTCTAGAAATGATCGGAGTAGAAGTGAACTCATTTCTGTATTTCCATATGTATTGTCTCATAAATGACTCCTGATAGATAATGACCTATCTGATAGATAATAACAGATGGATGAAAGTTGCAGCCTGAGCATGAGCGAGACCCTGTCTCTCCAAAAATGAGAAATATTAGCCAGGAAGTCAGGAAACTGAGGCAGAAGAACCTCTTAAGCCCAAGACTTTAAGGTAGCTGTGAGCTATGATGACACCACTGTACTCTAGTCTGCCAAAAAAAAAAAAGGGAAAACCCGGCCTCAAAAAAAAAAAATAATAATAAGTTGCCTTTCAAATTAAGACATGAAAAAAAGGGAACTCATTCTGAATTACACACCAGAAGATCTTCCCCTAAGCCTCCAAATTTCATCCTCAAAAATGGCAGCATGGAGAATAATCTGATGCCAAAGTTTGTCAACTTGTACGACGGGGCTATGTTTATTCAGTGAGAAATGTCTAGGTCATATGCTCATCCTCTTCTCTCTGGCCTCACTGCTCCCTCTCCATATTGGCCATATTTCCCCTCAACATCAAGAGTAGTTCAAACAGGCATGCTGGGAGTCCTTGAGGTCTCCGAACTCTGGGAGCAGGTGGCAAAGGAAATTCAGAGTGAGCTCTCCACTGGCTCTAGTGCTGTCCGTGCCTTCCCCACAAGCAACTCCTATTAAAAGAAAAGACCAAGCATCCACTAGAACACCACCAAGCAGGCCTATTTAATTAGGGCAAATGCGTGATAGCCACTTCTTCATGTTAAACACACAGCCACACAGGCTGGGAGGGCTGATTAATTTTAATATGCACGGTCCTGACAAGTGCCTCAAGGGTAACTGACTGCAAAACACACACAGAGGGGCAGACACACAAAATCCTCCAGCTCGGCTGATAAATCAGCCACAGAAAAATGCTCTGTACGCTGCCCAGATTAGAGTGTTACTATTCAGCAAGGGCCTGGACCTCTAACGTGAGGGAAAAGAGGCCTCAGAAACAGGTGGCTGGCTCTTCACTCTTGAATTAATGATATCCCCAAGAGCTGTGACACATGAGCACCAAGGAGGGTTGGCACGATCCCCTCCTGTTTATTTGTAAATGCACAGCCTGGGTCAATGGGTCTTCCTTAAATGATCCACACATTGAAATTGAAAAGTCTGGAACTGACAGTTTCAGTTAAAAGCAAGAAAAATAGGGGTACCCATTCATCTGAAAGGCTTAGAGAATATTAGACACATTTGGATAAAGTGCTGGTTGGAATGATTGAAACAGTCCTGTTAGTAGAGAAACTCGTGATGAATTCTTTTTGAACCCGAGACAATAGGCAAATAAAACAAGAATGATCGCTTTATTATCAGATGACGAAGAAGACAACAGATATAATCTTAAATGCATAGCATCATTAGATTTTATTAGCAAAAGTTGCAGTTAAAAAGAAAAAGAGAAGCCAGTCCATGGTGGCTCATAGCTGTAATCCTAGCACTTTGGGAGGCCAAGGTGGGAAGGTGGCTAGAGGCCAGGAGGTTGAGACCAGTGAGATCCCACCTCTACAAAAATTTAAAAACAATTTAGCTGGGTGTGGTGGCACATGCTTGTACCTCTAGCTACGTGGGAGGCTGAGGCAGGAGGATTGCTTGGGCCTAGGAGTTTCAGGTTGCAGTGAGCTAAGTGAGCTATGATGACACCACTGCACTGTAGCCCTGGCAACAGAAGAGAGAGAAAGAGAGAGAGAGAGGGAGAAAATGGAAGCTTCTCTTGGCCAAATGGTTTTCATACTCAGGCAACAACCCTGGATCGCAGTTCAAGGACTGACTATATAAAAAGATCATTAAAGGCAATCCCTGATCCTTCGTGATGCAAGCCAGAGGTCTTCCAGGAAAATATAAAATTAATTTTCTATAACACTTAATGAAATTAACAACACCCAGACACACTGCAAGGATGGATGATACCACTTGAAAAGAGATGACAGGGAATAAGTTTCACTTTGCAGTTGAAAAATTACCAGGCTTCCAACTCCACTAACTCTGCGCTAAAGTTAAAACACTTGTTCCTGAAGAAACAGGCTCTCCAGCATTGGAGGGCGTCTTCTTGTCCTGACCTATAAAAAAATAAACTCTTTTCTTTATCATAATTTTATGAGTGGTGCCTTTGAAAAGGGTGCCTGGAGGTGAGACGCTAGCTTGCTCGACAAGAAGAGACATTTTGCGGTGACAGGCTGCACAGATGAACGCGTAGCCACAGCCGCATTAGGAGTGGCCTCCAACAGCAGCGGGAGTGTGAGGAACCAGACTTAAAAGGGCTCCATTGAAAAGTCCCCTTGTTTGTCCTTCAGTGGAACAGCACTTACAAAGCCTCTTCAACGCGGACTTTGTCAAAAGGACAGTGAGTAACTAAACAAAAGCAAGGCAAACCTCTGCCAATTAAAGTATCTTTAGGCTTTTCCCCGATCCATTCACTTTTTATTTTTCCCACCTCATCAAATGTGATTTTAGAACAAGAGTGAATTTCAAAGTGCCCTCTTCTTTGCCCCAATTAATGCACTGCTTTGGAATTTTGAATTTAGGAAAAGCCAATCTCCATAATTTCCCCATAAAAAAAAAAA